GGAAGGTGGATGGATGGATGGATGGGAAGGTGGATGGATGGATGGATGGATGGATGGATGGATGGATGGATGGATGGGAAGGTGGATGGATGGATGGGAAGGTGGATGGATGGATGGATGGGAAGGTGGAATGGATAAACAGGGAGCAGGATGGGTTCTTCCTTACAGTTAAATACTGCCTGATAAAATGGGATGGCAAATCACCACTTTAAAAATTGTCATCATAAACCACTGTACAAGTGAGAGTCATCATTCGACGGGCATGTTGAAAGGAAGGCTCAGAGGAGTAGGAGACTGGGGTCTCAAGGGTCTCCCCTATCCTTTGCTTACTAGCTGGAAAGAAGACCGGGCTATCTCCGCGGAGACACTAAGCACGGCTGGGTGATGAGACTCAGCTTCCCCACAAGGGGCGGCCACTCGCCAGGTGCCTGCTGATGAGACACTGGGAAGGGAGCCCCGTGTGGCCCGTGTGGAGTGTTCCCCTGGGGAAAGCGCACCACCCCCACGCGAGGGGCATTTGACTGAAAGAAAAAGAAGGCTTGCCGTCCCCACTGAGGCCCATGCCACGAGAGTGACAAAGGCTGAGGAGGCTTCCAGAGGTAAGGAGGCTAACGAGACGGGAAGGAGCCAGGGCGGTGCTGGAGGTCAGCGGTTCCAACCCACCACATCCATGGGAAAGGAACAGGGAGAAGCACTAGGCGGTGCAAACAGGCTACCATCTGGCTGCTCTCTGAAGGCTGGTGGATGGAGTCAGCCCAGGGGCACCGCCCAGAAAGCAACATCGTTGTCGACTTTGGACAATGCAGCCAGGGGACAGACTGGGAGTGCGGTTCTGCCCTGATACATACGTGTCTGGTTCTGCCCTGATACATACGTGTCTCCGTGCGTCGGACTCAACTCGGCAGCGGTAGGTTTGGTTCATAATTGGCTTCTGTGTGTGTTTTCTTAAATCAGTAACTCATTACCCCGTATGGCCACGTGTGACGCATTAACAAGAGTTAGTAAAAGCGCCTGCCCCTCTTTCCATCGGAGAAAAGTATCCATCTCAAGTCCCAGATTGAGAAGTGACCGTGGTGTTCATGCGTTGGGCTGCGACCCGTAAGGCCAGCAGTTCGAAACCATCAGCCAGCTCCATGGGAGAAAGACGGAGCTTTCTACTGCCGCAAAGAGTTACAGTACCGAAGGTAGGGGAGGGAGGGGGGGGAAAGAGGAGCTGATACCAAGGGCTCAAGTAGAAAATGTGTTGGAAATGATGATGGCAACATAGGTACGAATGTGCTTGATGTGACTTATACATGGAATGAAATAAGAGCTGGAAGAGCCCCCGATAAAATGACTTAAAAAACAAACGAAATAAGAGTTACAATCTCTACAACTCACACCTTCCCGGTCCAACAGTCCCTGCCCAGCAGGCCTCCCTGTGAGGACTCCCTGCTGTGCGTCGGCAGGAAGGGTGTGAGGGAAGGTTTAGGAGAAAGACCGGCTTTCTCTTCCCACAAAGACTTTCAGTCTCGGAAACCCACCAGGCGGTCCTGCCCTGTCCTTTGGGGCCCGCTGTGGGTCGGCACCGACTGACGGCAGGGTGTTTTATGGGTTTCCTCTGCAATTTTCTTTGGTGGGAAGGTTTCTCCACCGCAACAACAAAAAATCCCACAAAGAAAGTCCAAAGTCCATCCATCCCGGTCCTGAGACCCTGGTCGCAGGGAGTGGAGTCTGTAACGAGCCTTCTCCGTTGCTGACGACAGAGCGAGTTCCCACGGAAGGCTCAGGCCACACCACGGCCCGCTGCCTTTCCCTCCCCTGCTGTCCTCCTGTCCTGACTGCTGCCACCCCTGCCTGAGGAAGGCCCAGACGCCACTCCAGGAGCATCTCTAGCCCTGCAGAGGGAGGGGCTGCTTTCCTTGCTCCCTCAGCAGCACCTCCATCCCACAGCACCGCTGACCCTCAAGAGGAGACCGCTCATTCCGGCCAGTTGGCCAGCTCACACAGGAAATCCCCTCTGGCTTCGAGGAAGCAGCGTTTTGCTTTAAAAGGGCCCATTCGCTTGGGGGCCTCGTAAGATGAGAACACATCCAGGGCTCTGTGGCCTCTGTGTCCTGCTGAGTCAGGACAGGGTCTGATCCTGGAAGTGCTTGGAAACTTCTTGCTGAGTCATAACAAAGTGTCTCGCCTTTCAGACAGGTGGGAATTCCCAGCACAGATGAGGCGACCGCACTATGACCAATCTGCAGGTCCCACGGCGACCTTTGTTACAAAACTGACCCAAGCCACGTTAAAAAAACGGTGCGGCTCTTTCCATCCAAAAGTGAGACGAGGTTACGGGCCAACGAGCTCACGAGAAGACACTTGTCATCACTGGATGCAAACGTCGAAAACCCCAGTGAGAGCCACGGAGCTCCCATGAGGATGGCTCTCAGGAAACTCACTGCTGTGAGCTGATGCCGACTCACGACGACCCCATGGGAAGCCTCGTCTTTGCCCCGAGGAGTGGCGGGTGGTTTCCAACTGCTGACCCTACAGTTCGCGGCAGCCCGACTTGTCACCACTGCTGGGACTCAGAAACCAGAAAATAAGAAGGTGTCATTAAGGATGCAGAAAGATGGGCGCTCTCACCGTTGCAGGGCGGGGGGTGGGGGGGGTGTTTAGGAGGGGCAGCTTATGAAGGTGCATTTGCCTGTGGAAGACGTCTGGTGATTCCTCAGGAACAGAAACACGGAATGACCATGTGATCCAGCGATCCCACTCCCAGGGACATACCCAAAAGACTCGGAGGGGAGAGAGCACACAGACAGCGTCGCCCCTGTGCACGGGAGCCCTATCCACAAGAGCCCAAAGGTGGAAACAACCCAAGCGTTTATCAACAGCCGGTGGACACACAATAGGGTCTCGACAGGCACGGACAATGGAAACTTCCCGGCCATAGAGAGATTGGAATTCTGATACATGCTGTGACATGGAAGGACCTTGAATAACATGACGCCGAGTGGAATAAGGCAGTCACAAGAGGATGAATATTGTATGAGCCCCACTTACAGGAAACGGGCACGTGTATAAAGGCTTCTGTTTACGGGCCGCCCCCGGGAAATTAGCTTCTAATTGACAGGCAACTTCTATGGGTTCTGCAATGCGAGGCGCATCTGCCCTCATGCTGGAAACAACGAACGGCCGGCCCTGCGTCACAATCTCCTTCACTTGCCGCACGGCACTGACGAGGCTCAGCACCTGGCCTTACATGAACCAAACCAGACCCATGGGAAGCGAGTCAGTTCCGACTCACATGGGCCCCAGTGAGGCGCATGTCTGGGATGTCCCTCGGGGCAGTATCGGCCTCCTGGTGGCGACAGCGAGGATGGCGACCATGACAGGGCTTTTCTTAGGCCTCACCTTCGTCTTCCTCCTCCTCCTCCTCCCAGGTCACTGGATACAGTTGACAGACTGTCAGCGTCCGGGCTGACATTGCTGCGGTTAGGCGCCATCGCATGGGCCCTGGCCCGTGGTGACCCATGCTGCCCGGTCCTGGGCTGTCCCTGCTCCCTGTCCTTCTTCCGTCTGAGCCCACTGTTGGGTGTGCGGTGCACTGCACTGTGTAGACAGGGCTCTCGTGGCACCGTGGGTGAGGCAAAGCTGGCAGCTGGCAGCCCCCAGCTGCTCCATGGAAGAAAGAGGAGGCTGTGTGCTCCTGTCAAGAGTTAC